GTGTCATGAAATTCAAACACGAAACAAAGCACATCAATGAAATTGCTAACCATAACATCAATGCTATAGAAGGTGTGAAGCAAAGCCAGAATACAGATAATAGACTAAGTGAATAGGAACCTGAAGTCAAGATGAGCTCAAAAAGTAGGTTCAGGAAAAGTGAAGTCATGGAAAATATAGAAAGAAACAAGGTAGTAGTTAGAAAGAAGAATTTCAGAATTCAAGGTTTCAGAGGCTGAGGAATTTCTAATAAAAGAGAATCTTATAGATGCCTCCAGTGTGTGGGAGACTTTGATTTGAAATGTACCAATATTTTAAATTTACAGGAAAGATTAGTTAAATCACACTTGAAAGGTTCAATTACATTTTGCAAATATATATTAAGTGAGATAAACTTTTGGTTAATTTGATTTAAAAAAAAGAAAGAAGAAAACCAAATTGCCAGCATCAAAAATGAAAAGGATGAATTCATCACCAATGAAGAGTAAATTAAAACAATAATTAGGAGCTTTTTTTGCCCAACTGTATGCCAATAAATCTGACAATCTAAATGAAATGGATGAATATTTACAAAAACATAAATTGCTCAGATAAACAGAAGAGAAAATAAAATTCTTAAATAACCTAATTTCGGAAAAAAGAAAGTGAATAGGCCATCAATGAACTCCCTAAGAAAAAATCTCCAGGGCCAAATGGATTACAAGTGCATTCTACCAAACATTTGAAAAACAACTAATTCCAGTGTTATATAAACTATTTGAAAAATAGGCAAAGGATTCCTACCAAATTCCTTTTATGACACAAATGTAGTACTGATACCTAAAGCAGAAAGAGACAAAACAGAGAAAGAAAATTATAGACCAATTTTCCTAATGAATATTGATGCAAAAATTTAAAATAAAATATTAGCAAAAATATTACAGAAATTTTTCATAGAGATAATATACTATGACAATGTAGTATTTATGCCAGGAATAGTTGGTCAATATCAGGAAAACTATCAGCATAACCAAGTATATCATTAACAAAACCATATGATTATTTCAATAGATGCAGAAAAAGCTTTTGACACTATACAGCACCCATTCCTATTAAAAGCCCTAGAGAACATAGGAATAAATGGAGTTTTCTTTAAAATGATAAGCAGTGTCTATCTAAAACCATCAGCGAGCATTATATGTAATGGGAATAAGCTAGAAACATTTCCAATAAGATCAAGGATGAAACAAGGATGCCCATTGTCACCACTATCATTCAATATTGTACTAGAGATGTTAGCATTAGCAATAAGAGATAAAAAAGAAATTGAAGGAATTAGAATAAGCAATGAGAAAACAAAGCTATCACTCTTTGCAGATGATATGCTGGTATACTTAGAGAATCCTAGAAAATCAACTAAAATAACTACTTGAAACAATTAAGAACTTTAGCAAAGTTTCAAGATAAAAAATAAACCCACATAAATCATCAATATTTCTATATGTTGTCAACAAAGCCCAGCAACAAGAGATAGAAAGAGAAATTTCAATTAAAATAATTGTAGACAATATAAAATATTTGGGAGTTTAACTGCCAAGGCAAATCCAGGAACTATGTGAACATGATTATAAAACTCTTTTCACACAAATAAAGTCAGATGTGAACAATTGGAAAAATATTGATTGCTCATGGGCTAATATAATAAAAATGACAATTCTACATAAATCACTTATTCAGTGCCATACCAAATTCCTAAAAAAAAAAAAATTTTATAGAGCAAGAAAAGTCATTACAAAATTCAAGTGAAAGAAGAAAAGATCAAGGATATCAAGGGCATTAATGGGAAAAAAGCAAAAGAAACTGGCCTAGCAGTGCCAGATCTAAAACTATATTATAAAGTGGCAATCATCAAAACTATTTGGTGTTGGCTAAGAAATAGAGTGGTGGATCAGTGGAATAGATTGGGTACACATGACACAATAGTAAATGATTATAGTAATCTACTGTTTGAAAACCCAAAGACTCCAGCTTTTGGGATAAGAACTCAATATTTGATAAAAACTGGTGGGAAAACTGGAAAAGAGTATGGCAGAAACTAGGTATAGACCAGTAAATCACATCATATACCAAGATAAGGTTGAAATGGTACATGATTTAGACATAAGGGATGATACCTTAAGCAAAGTAGGAGAGCAAGGAATTGTTTACCTGTCAGATCTATGGAGAAGGGAAGAACTTTTGACCAAGCAAGAGATAGAGCACACTATGAATTTCAAAATGAATTATTTTAATTATATTAAATTTAAAAGGTTCTGCACAAACAAAACCAATACAATCAATATTAGAAAGAAAATGGAAAGCTGGGAAATAATTTTCACTGCCAGTGTTTTTGATAAGGCCTCATTTCTCAAACATATAAAAAATACAGTCAAATTTATAAGAATACAAGTGATTCCCCAATTGGTAAATGGTCAAAAGATATGAATAGGCAGATGAAGATGAAGAAATTAAAGCTATCTGTAACCACATGAAAAAATGCTCTAAATCAATATTGATTACAGAAAAGCAATTTAAAACAACTTTGAGGAACAATCTGACACCTATTAGTTTAGATAATATGACAGAAAAAGAAAATGATAAATGTTTGAGAAGATGTGGGAGAATTGGAACACTAATGCATTGTTGGTGGAGTTGTGAACTGATTCAACTATTCTGGAGAGCAATTTAGAACTATACCCAATGCATACCCTTTGATCTAGCAATGCCACTACTACGTCTGTATCCAAAATAGATCATAAAAAAGGGAAAAGCACCCATACGTACAAAAATATTTATAGCAGCTCTTTTTGTGATGGTAAAGAATTGGAAATAAAGGAGATGTTCATTGATTGTGGAATTGACTGAACAATTGTAGTATATGAATGTAATGGAATGCTATTGTTCTATAAGAAATAATGAATAGTCAGATTTCAGAAAAAAAAAACCCTGCAAAGACTTACATGAAATGGTACTGAGTGAAGTGAGTAGAACCAGGAGAACATTGTACATAGCAACAGCAACATTGTGTGATGATTAACTATGATAGACTTCGTTCTTTCCAGCAAATCAATGATCCAAGACCATTTTCAAAAGACTCGTGATGGAAAACGCTAACCATATCAGAGAAAGAACTATAGAGTCTGAATGCAGATTGAAGCATACTATTTTCACTTTTTTATTTGTTTTTTTTAATTTCTATTGGTTTTTCCCTTTTGTTCTGATTCTTCTTTCACAACATGACTGATGTGGAAATAACGTGATTGTACATGCATAACTTATTTGCTTGCTATCTTAGGGAAGGGTCAGGGAAGGGAGGAAAGGAGAAAAAAATCGGAGCTCAAAAGTTTACAAAAGTGAATGTTGAAAACTATCTTTCCATATAATTGGAAAACATTAAATAATATTAATGAAAAAAAGTGTGGAACACAGTCCTAATTAATGGAGGGAATAGGAAGTTTGGATAAGACATTGTCTGCCTTCAAAGACATTGTCTGACTTCATGTACCTCATGATCTGGCAAGGGAATAGGGTACATAGGTAATCATATTACAAAAACAATGCATGATAAATATATCAAGGAAGGAAAACAAATACAACAATCACTTTATTATTTATTTGATTTATTTTAGCCCTTACAGACATATGATCTTCATTTAATCACAACTGTTAATAGGTATATTTAAGGAATAGGCAAAGAAGTAGAAAGGATTTCTTATTTACATTATGTAAATTTCCATTCTGGCTAATTTTCATCCTATAGTTTAGTAATCGTTCTGATCTTTCAAATTGTGCTCAAGGATTTAGAAAAAAATGTCTTTTCAGATTTCACGCTTAACAGAAAGAATTCGTATTTGTAATTTTATCATTATTTTTAGTGTTAAAGAAATAAGATTGTTTATCCTCTACTGAGAAATTTTTTTCCAATCACACATTATTAGCCAAACTATATAAATATTACATATGAAATTAAAAAAAGATATACTCCCTCTTCCAAACCCTTATTGCAAAGAGGAACCTTTCCATCGGTATTACCTAGAATCAGAAATTTAGAGGCAACAGCAATAAAATCATGTGATCCAGTCTTTAATTTCTGAATTGGCTTTCCCTCAAACCACTGAAAGTACATGGCTGTCTCGTAGAAACAAGTGTGGGGGAAGATCAATAACCAATTCCAGGGTTAAACAACAAAATACCTTGCTTAAACTTTCCTTGTTTCTAGACAAAGTCCCTTGTTACAGTTGAAACTAATTTCCTCATTAAGTACCTTCAGTGAAGATAAGAACATTACCTCAGGACTATTAATTGTGTCTTCTTAAGAACAACAATGCCCTGGGGATTCAACTGTATTGGGTGACACCAATATTTTTTTTCCTATCCTACTTTGCCTAAATAATCACTCTATAATCTGTATCTCAGAAGTCATCTATTCTTCCTTACACATTTTCCCTACTGACTTTTTTGGGGGAGGAGGGAAGTAACTATTTCTCTAATTTGGCAATATTGAATATTAGTCCAGCTCACTATGATTCACTGACTAGTATTTGATACAACCTACAAATATAGATAGATAGATGGATAGACAGATCTATATCTATATTATTTATATCCTAATTCAAATAAGATACTGTTGCCAAGAGTTGGAAATATGTCCTGGGCAAGGGGTATTAAGAGTCAACTTTATATCAAGCGGCCAGACACTGTTTTATCTTACTTGAGATTAATATCCATACTTATTAGAAAAATATTTACTCAGATAGATGAAAATGCAGAGAGAAGAGTAAATGATCACAGTGAAATATTCTCAAAGAACACCAAGAGCATTTTTTAAAAGTTTACCTTGTTCATTCAACTTACTATTCAATAGAAATAGTTTTCTCAAAACCTTCCATTAATACAGGGTTATCCTTAGAGCAACATTGACCACTAAAGGCACTTCTGCAGACTTTACATGGACCGTTTCAATAGTAAATGTTTTCACTGACCTGAGGAAATGTCGATTTGATTCTTTTTGTTTAATGTGACGTTGATACGGACACCAACTTTGCTCTCAGTGAGGTCAATCTCCACATTCCCTAAACCATCTGCGAAGTTGCTGAAGAGCAAAAGGCCATTGGGATTCCATGTCCTGAACTGGAAACTGACTGAAAATAGATCCTGGTTGGGGCGGCCAAGTACCTCCAGGTAACTTGTGGCATTGAAGAACACAGGGACTGTATGTGGCTCCACACAAGAAAAACTTAAATTTCCCTTAAAGCAAAATTAAATAAATAAATAAATAAATAAACAAGCAAACAAACAAACAAAACAACTTCATGTACCTACTGAAGATAACCAATTAATTTTGTAATCCAGTGGTATACTTATAAACCCCCATTTCAAACCAAAGCATTAACTTATCCCAAATACCCTCTGATATACTTGAGACCACGGCATGAAGATGGATGATTGACTATTTCTTCATGAATCTACATTCTGTGTCATTAACATCACATTTAGAAGCCTTTCAAGCCAAGGTATACAACATAGCCCCACTACTTGTGGAAGAGGGAGACATGATATTATTCGATTCATTAGTTAGACAAATGTGATCTGTGTACATTGATGACTTTGTGTGTGTCTCTGTGTGTGTGTGTGCGTGCATGGTGTGTACATGTGTAAGGATGCCATTCTGTTGGAGGGAAGATATCAGATATGCTTCTGGAGTATTCATTTCTGATTCTTGATACATCTTCCCATGGTGACAGTATGATTCATGAACACAGTGTGGAGGGATAGGTGTCATTGCCCTCTATTGAACATTAGCTGGATTATAACAGATACACTCATTAATATATCATTTACCACTCTCAGATGAACAGAAAGAATAGCACTTTTGTTTCACTGTGTGGAAAGCTGACATTTTAGAGCAAAAGTTCTTGTTTCACTTTCAGAACCAAGATGTATGAGCTCTTACTTTGACACTGATCATCACTGTTAATGCTGCGCCCCCTTACCCTTTCCCCAGATTCATAGCACTAATTTTGAAAGTGCTAAAGAATCATGATACTGGAACTGTGATGCAGGAGAATACTTGATTTTGAATCAGATGTCCTGGATGTGAATTACAGTTTTGCAACTTATGACCTGTGTGAATTTGGACTAAGAATTTCCTCTATCTGCAAGCTGTCTGTCAACCTTTCTTTTATTCTGCATAATACTTTTCAGTATGATGAAAACATCATTCAGAATATGTAATTATAAGAATTTAAATTTAAGAGTATTTGAGGTAAAAACAACCTTGGAGGCCTAGTATTACTCCCCCATGTAGCAAATGATGGAAGTGAAGTCCAGTGACTTGGTCAAGGTCACTAACTTTGTTAGAAACAGAGGCAATAGGAGAACCCAAGTCTCCTGATCACCATTTTATTGCTCTTTTTATTGTTAATATTTTAATGACTTTTTTTTAAAGCTCATAAAATGACAATTCAGTATTCTAAAATATTCCAAGCTTCACTCTACTTGGCCACAAACTAAGCAGGGTTTTTTTTTTTTTTTTGGTCTGTTTGTTTTTTTGTTTTCTGTTTCTTTTTTTTTAAAAGAGAATTTCTTACTGTGGTAAATAGGTTCTCAGGGAAATTCATTAATTCATTCAGATCACTAAAAGATCAGGAAGAAAATTATTCAAATCTCTGGTGGGCTGAAATACAACCAGATTCAATTACACCTAAAGTTTCATTCTATAATATTTATTTGTGGTTCATACAGTAAAACAAATTCATAGGAAAGCCTATGTTATATCAGTTATATCTGTAGCTAGGGTAGGGGGACTAAACATGGCCACAATTCACTGACACATGGGTGGAGGCAGCTTTTTCTTGTAGCAGTCATCTGTTTTGCTATTTCCACATTTCATTGTCTGTTTCCTCACCCTGCCCTAGGCCATTTCTTCACAGTGGGTCTCATAATCATGGTATTGTCTGTCTCCCGTGGCCTTATTTTTCCCAGTACTTTCCTTCTTCCACTTTTTCCTTGGGGTTGAGGAGTTGATAATCAGTGACTATGTCCTTAAGGCATGGACTGGACTTTCTGAGAAGATGAGATATCTCTTTTCATGTATGGCTACAACTGGACAGATTGTCTTCCATGACAGATTAACCAACGTTCATAATTGAATTTGCCCAAAGTGTAAGAGATAATAGTTAAAGTTTTGATAACAATGCTCTTTTGTATCCCAATAAATAATCTTGCATAGATGAGGCGATTAGGTGATTTAATTTCATTCCAAATCTTGCTTTCCAGGCAGTAATATTTTAGCACTGTTCTCATGTATGCCACTGCTATATGTATGCTGCCCTGGTAATTTGACAGACTAATATATATGGCTTAGCAAATGGGATTATGTTCAGACAGCCTGACAATAATTCACAAATTCAGGGTCTACACATAAAAAAGTGAAAGAGGCAATTAAACCAATGGTCTTTGCTGAGAAAGATTTTGATAACTTGAGGGAAAAGTATTATCTTTGCTGAAATTATTTGGATAAATTGCCTTGGCTCCATTCAATTTTAGTGTGTAGATAGTCTCTAAAGATGACATTTTCATACTGTCCTTCAGATTTGTTTTTCCCTCCAAACACTTGTATACCCTAAAATGTCATGGGTCTTTCACGCCTATGCAAAACCTCAGCACATTAATGATCAGATCTAAAGCTTCATGTCTCTTTGAATTAATATTCAAATTAAATTTACTTTAAACCTTCACAGATGATTATTTTAAAATATTTCCTTTTAGTGATGAAAGGGATTGTTTTTGCATATTAACTGGGCTCTTGGACCTGACCATGTACTTGAATCATAAGAACTGTCTCTATGGCAAAGTAAAAGGTTTTTCTTAAGTGATCAGTGGCAAACTCTGCAGCCTGGATGTAATGAGGGAAAGTGGCAGTGTGTTTTGGGTGTCAATCTTTCACTGAAATGTCAGCCTCTGGCATCTTTGAAAGCAAGTCTCATGCACAAATATTTGCTCTTGTCTAGAAGTTCTTTCTATATAATCCCCCACTTCTCTTTGTTTTGCCTAGAGCTTTCAGAATGAATTTAAATTCTGGCTCTAAATTTCATTCTACTGCTGGGAATGTAGTGTGTGTGTGTATGTGTGTGTATGTATGTGTGTATGTATGTGTGTGTGTGTGTGTGCATTCCTCCCTATGCGTATATTTGTTTATGTGTATTTTAAGTGGTTATGATTATAGAATATCCTCACTTCCTTTTATATTCCATACACTTAGCTATACAGGAGCACTTACATATATTTTGTGAGGTCTTTTGCATAGACTTCACACTTTACATAGATCTGTGAATCAAATGAAAGTGGCTAAGGAACCAATCAGAGGGAGTCAGAAGGTGTTTAATAAATGTTCATCCATTGACTCATACAAAAAAAACTCAATGAAATATGACAGAAATAATATTTTGAAATGGCAGTGCCAGTCATAGATACTTGCTCCCATGTTTAGAAATTTTTAGGTAATAAATGAGGATAAGAACAGTTTCATTTGTCTCTTTTTTGCCCAGTAGCTTACAGAGTGCTAGGAACAAAGCAGGTGCTTAATAAATTCATGAAAAATGACTAAACAATTTATTTCTGCATAAATGGGGGACTGAAATGGATTGTCCACACTATTATATTAGTCCCCCAGGGTTAAAAATGATCATCGCTATGAATAATTATGTTCATAGCTAGAACATATAGAGCACTTGAAGGTTTATAAAGTGCTTTATATATGTTATCTCATTAGTCTTCAAAATGATCCTGTGAATTAAGTACTATTTTTATCCCCATTTCATAGATGAGGATACTGAAATAAAGAGGGATTCAGTGATTTACTCAGGGTCATATAGCATAGAAGTGACTGAGGCCAGAATACAACTGAAGGCTTTTTAATTCAAAATTCAGTAATCTATCTACTCTGATATCTAGTTGTATTTGACTATATACAGTTATAGATTATACCCTCATATAAAACAACCTTATATTTAAATTACTTCACCAGAAATTTTCTTTTAAATTTCAATTTCAACAAATAGATCAAGTCCAACAGTATTTTATTTTTTAAGGTTGGAGTGATTTTTTTCTCTTGTCATCAGAAGTTAGTGACTTTTATATTTAAACATTGTAGTAAATTCAGTCATATTGAAGCTCTGAACTGACCCCTGTTTAGGCCCTAAGGGATTTCTAGTTGCCTGATACTTTTATGTTTATCTCATGGTCCAGTACCTGGGCAGTAGACACTAGTTGTTCTCGGAAGCACAAAGGCTCACATTATTGTTAAAGTTTTAAAAGACTTTCATTCTACCCTTTCCCATTGATATAGCTATGGTGAATCCTAAGTTTCCCATAAAATACAGAGATTAAGAGGGTCCACTTTTGATGAAGGCCTGGTCCTAGTTTAGAGAATTCACACCAAAATTAGAGATACGGAAGTGGTCTAGGCACCAGCCCCCAAATTTTTAAGTTGTTTTGTTGGAAAATGTTACCCTGGTGACGCCACCTTCAACACAGGTATAAATGGTATTTTAAATGGTTCTCTTTTAAAATTTAAATTGTTTGACTTTCCTACTAAAATTTTTCTTCTCCTCTTATAGAACATGAAAACAAAAGAACTGTGTTTTTTTAAACTTTTTTTCATATATTGCATTGCATAAAACATTTTAAATATAATGTCATTTAAAATGCATTTGCAAATAGGGATCTATATGTAAAATTGCAACTGGACTAGGAGACCACAGAATATATGGTTCCAAGTTATCCCCTATGGTTGATATATTTTTACTCTTTGTAGAAGAACTTGAAAATACTACTTGTTTGTGTCTCACATTAATGAGATCCACTAATGTGTTTTTAGCCTAATTCAGCTACAGTCACCTAAACCTGAGGTGTGTCAGGAGTGTAAGCATCACTTTATGACCTAAAATAATATGGGCTGCTTCAGGAATAGTAATCTTTTAATTTCATTAGAAATCTTCAAACAACACCTGGAGTGACCACTTGTTGCATATGTTATAGTTTACAGAGGATTGTCTTTCACAATAGATCTAGTTGATTGTCTTAAAGGTCCCTTAAAACCCTTAAGATATGTGAATGGTAATAATACTGAGGTTTCTTTCTATCTCATATGTTTGTTGCATATTGAAGCACAAGCTTTAAAAAGCTTAAAGTTCTTCACAAATGTAAGTTATTATTTTCCTAATTCCTGCTTTTGGGCTCCAATACCACAAATCCTCCCTACTTCTCCATGATAAATTACTAGTTCAGACAAGTGACCATCTTTCATTTATCTATAGAATAAAATTCATTAAACAGACAGGGCTTACCACATTGGAAGGCTCTAACTTCTTCCTCTTGGCAAGATCAGTAATATTATTCCCATTGTAGTTAATGCTTTCCATGCATCCTTTGAAATTCTTTCTACTGTTGGAACTTGGCTTCCCAGAAAAAGGCAGACCTCCAAAGGTTATCTTTGAGAAAGATGAAGATGTACAGAATTCAATATAAATACAATTTTAAAATAGCATCAGGAAAAAGTAGATACATTACCCAGTGATGGAGGCTAGTCACAGAATAAAATGTGGACAAACCTCTTTATATTGGAAACGATATCAAAATACCCTTCTCCCATTTACTAGGAAAGTCTTTGTACATTAAAATAAATCTTCCCTAAAGAAAATATTACTGAGGGTAATATAATTTCAAAAAGAATTAGGTCACAACCAATATCATATAATTGGGTGGTATTATTCTGTACTTGTTGCTGTAGGTTTTTTTTTTTTTAAAGTTTTAATTGAAAAAGTTTTCTGAGAATTTATGAACAGGGTGAAAAAGTCAAGGTGCTTTTGCCATACAGTCTCTTTGTTAATATTTGAAAGTCAAGGGTGGCATATTCTCTTTAATTATGTAAAGTATTCATAATATCATGAAAGAGGCAAATATTGAATCTAGTAAAGAAACTAGAGTAAGACTTTGATAACACAGAAGTGAATCACTGGTTTAGTAGCAGATAAAAAGGACAGTGGTTATATATATGCATGCATGCATGTGTATACATGTATATAACACATATACATACACACAAAGACATATACAATGCGCATGCAGATGTGTATATGCATATAGCATATTCTATGTATATAGGATTTGACATTGTAGAATGCATATACACACAAACACATACATGCATTTTATACATGTATGTGCGTACATGTGCGTGTGTATGCATACACATCCCTATACGCATACACACACATGCAGGCACATATTATGTACATATATGCATATATTCTATTCCATATATATAAATTTGACATTACAGAATATACACATATAAACACACATGTGTATATAGTCTCCCCTCCCCATCCCATACACACAAACACATACACAGACACACACATGAATTTGATATTGTGGAAAATACATATATATGTGTATATGTGTGTGTGCATGAGTGCATGTGCCTGTATGTGTATATGTAACATATATATGTTATATATACACATGTGTGTATATATATACATATATACATATATAAAACATTGTGGAATAGATACATATTTATACACACATATCTGTATCTAGATCAATAGATAGATAGATAGATAGATAGATATTTCCAATCAGAATAATTTAAATGTTTACATCTACCTTCAAATTTTTGAAGGACTAAAATATGGAGGAAGTGCTTTTGTTGTTAACTTTTCTCTTACAGGGCAGAACTAGTTTTCTTCCATGGTATAAACAGGATTCTTGTTTAAGTCTAGATTACACTGGATGACCTCTGAGATACCTCCCAATTCTAAGACTGTTTTATTCTATGAAAATACTGAAGAATCTATGAGTATGAATGCATGACAGAATGTCCAAGGGGCAACTCTAACTCTATGGAGATGTATGGGGAACTACTAAACTTGGCTGAAAAAAGATGTTTTTTGCAGTGTTGTGTTTATAAGATAACAAACTGAACTCTTGTTTCAGTACCTTGACAAGCAAAACAAGCCAGAAAAATAAGAACAAGTACAACAACAGCAGCAACAAGAAAACTGACTGCTCATGTAACAATTATGAGATGCTCAATTGTTAAAACTTCCCAATAGCGTAAAAAGATTGAGGCTACAATTGAAATCTTGAGCCCTAGTGGATCTCATTTACTCTAGTGGGATTAGGTTATCCTCTCAAATTTCATTTGTATGAAAGAAAGGCATCCAATACCACCTCTGCCTTTAAGGCCAGTGTCAACTCTAGGCAATCATTTGACATCTCTGGGCCTCAGCTATTTCACATGAAAAATGAAAGGGACAAACTACAAGACCTTTCCAATTTTATATCCTATAAATCTGTACCTATAAAAGTTTGCATCTGGGGGATAGGTAGTAAATGAAACTTTTTTGTGTGAGGCAGTTGGGGTTAAGTGTCTGGGCCAGGGTCACATAGCTAGTAAATGTCAAGTGTCTGAGGCCAGATTTGAACTCACGTCCTCCTGACTCCAAGGCTGGAGCTTTATCCACTGTGCCATCTAGCTGCCCTTGTAAATGAAACTTTTGGACTAAGAAGCCTTTGTAAATTTGAATTATATTGCTGTTGATGTTCAGTCCAATCTTCCTTTCCTCTCCTCTTGCAATACAAAAAATTACTAGTGCTATGTGTTAAAAAATGATGGTAATTTAACTTGTGGACTTCACAAGGTGAAGAACCCTCTCAAATATTCTACTGTTCTAAAGTCAGAAGTTATTTCCAGCTCTGCTTTGGAAAAATGTCAAAAGTCAAGTTGAATTTTCAGATTATGCCCCTGAATTGTCCCAGGTGGTCTAGTACTCTTTTAACATTTAGATTCAAACAAAGATGAATTTAGCCCTGTAAACACTGAGAGTTTTTATTGTTGGGGGCAGATAGCTTATAGGATCCAGGTTAGCTTAGAGTCACCACCAGTTCCAAGGACCTTGGGAACCAGGAACAGATTCTATATTTTTTTTTTTTGCTCTCCACCAGCAGCTTTGTAAAATAAATAAATAAATAAGCAAATAAGAAAAAAAGTAAATAAATAAATAATTGGATTAAGTGAAATACTCTCATTTTTTACTACTACTACTACTACTACTAATACCACCAATAAAACATATAAAACAAGCTTACTAATACTAAAACATTTTAAAATGCACATTTCTATTTATTTGTTTGTTTTTGTTAGATTTTTACTTTCAGTATCAAATTCTCTCACCCTTCCAGCCCCTCCCCCAGCCATTAAGAAGGCAAGTCATCTGATACAGGGGTTTTACTTAAAGCTACTTCTTATTCTCACCATACAATGTTTTCTCTCATTTCTTTTAGATTTTTTTAAAAATAAAAATTAAGTTTAAAATGTCAGGGCTTTATATTTTAAACATAAGGCAAAGATTTCTGAATCTCAGAGGACACATGAACAAATTATGAACCACTATTGAGTATCACAGTATTGTTACATGCCTATTTAGTTTTAGGAAACTCAAATGAACAGAGCTTGGAGTAATAAGTAGAGAAAAGAAATAGAAGACATTTGAAATGCAAAGAAATGATATATGGAATGATAAGCTATATACCTCTATACATGTGTAGATACTCTCATCTAGTAGGAAAAATAGTAAAAATAATAAGAGATTCATAAATGATAAAGAAAAAAAGATTTTTTTCTAATAAGGAAACAGATTTAGACCTGGAAGAGATCTAGAAGGTCATCTAGTCCAAGCTACTCATTTTACAGATGCAGAAACTGAGATCCAGAGCAAGTGACTTGCCTAAGGTCGTACTGACATTAAGGGTTGGAGTTAGGATTTGAACCCCAGTCATTTGACTCCAGAGACAGTGGTTTTTCTATTGTTCCACATAGTCAAAGGAGAGAAAAAAAAATGGGAAAAGTAGAAAGTAACATGCATGTTTGGAAAAGAACATGGAGTTATATGGAATTGAAATGATTGCAGACCAAATAGAAAGAGTGAATTGAAGCTTACTTCCTTTCAATGTTTCTCCTCTTCTTGCCCACTCCCTCCAGAAATGAATAGCAATAAACTTGTCTTATACTCAATAGTACAATAATAACAGTAATAACAGCTAGCTAGCTTTTAGATAGCAGTTTAAGTTTGCAAAGCAATTTACTTATGCTACTTTGTTTAATAACAACACATATGCTAACATTTGAGAATAATTATTATTATTTTAAATTTATATTATTATGTTTTCCATGTACTTATACACTATGGATCACTCTAAGTTCTAGTGTAATTTTTCCCCTATATTTGCTTTCCGTAGGTAGAAAAAGTAGATGTAAATTGAATCTTCATATCATTAGCTAGTTTTTTTGACCTTTAGCAAGTCATTTAATATCTGAGTTTCATTTTTTTTTACTTTTTAAATTGAGTAGGTATAGAGAATCTCTAAGATCCCTTACAAGTCTTAACTTTAATGATTCTTTCATCAGGAATGAAATGTGATGCAGGGAATAGCAAACGAAGACCTGAGTTCTAGCTCTGGTTTGGATGTTTACTGCCCTGTGACGTATGAGGTCCCTTCTGCTTTTAAATCTATGATTCTACAACTTCTAACAGTCACTTAATCTTCGTGAGACTTTTGCCATCTCTAAAATCAAAGAAATTGATTTGAAAAGGCTAAAATGCTATGCAAATATGAATATACTATTAATCTTGACTTAGTGAGGAACATTCATATTCATAGAATGGTTGGTTGACCTCAAACCAGAATAGCTCAGCAAATAGTAACTTGGGTTGTACTGTTTAACAATATAAAATATCAGAACCCGAAGTTGATAGATTTTATTTTATAACTTAAATAGGTAATTTAATGTGTCACTTTCTAGGTGACCAAAATCTCTTTAACAAATTGTTGACCCATATATCCTCATTACAAAATCCAGGGTTACTACAATATATGATGAGGAATCAGAATAGGATAATAAAAAAAAGTTCTATTTTCCAAGGAATACTTTGAGTACAGTCATGACAGTACATTGGGTCTACTTTCTGAGTGCCAGTCTACCTAAATGCAGAGACATTCATCACCAATAGGCTAGCCATTTAATAGCAAATTATTCAGCTATAATAACCAGTGAAATAAAGAAAAATACAAAATGGTCTTCAGTCTCACATAGTTCCTTTCTACTTTTCAGGGACAGTGGCAGAAAAAAGTGAAAGAAAAGAATCACAGAGATTTCATTTTAAGTGTGAATTTTAATTTAGTTGTTGTTACTCAAAATGTAAACTGCTCATTCATTGACTAAATGGATGTACAACCAGAGGAACTGACTCATACCAATTTTGACACAATTAAAATAATTGAAATGAATAAAAGCAAAGAAGCTATTGGCTCTATAGAAGGATTGGCCACAGATTCTCCTTAAAAAGCCAATTAAAGTAGCTAGTGTGATTGGTTTCTTATTGTTGTTGGTCATGGTGATAGTGGTGGTGTTAATGTAGCCAAAGCCAACTAGGATTAAAACTTCATGGAATATGTGTTCAATCATATTACAGTGCTCATAATAAGCATTTGGAAAAGACCACTTTGTAACTAATAGTTTATACATCGATATCTGTTGCAGAGGATGAACAGATAGAAGAAATTCTAGATCCTCAAAATAAAGTTATCATATATGCTAAAACTTGTTTTCATTAGTACATTGGTGGGAATAGCTGAGGATATAAAGAAATGAACTGGTAAATAATGTCCAGGAATAAGGAATGAGAAAGCCCTAAGACTTGTGGACTATACTCAAGCTTCACACACATACCATGGATATCATTAATATCTGTGAGCCTCAGTTTCATTATCATTAAGATGAAGCAATTGAACAAGATGGCCTCCAAGGGCTCTTCAACCTCTAGATCTATGATTCTATGAAGACTTTATTTGAGAAAAGAGTTGAAGTGCACTGGATATAGTGAGCACTGGATAACTTGAAAAAATGAAATTGCTTCTATTGCAAAAGTCAGGAATTAAGTTGTTTCTGATGTAGGAATCATTCCTTAATGAACTGTGCATGTATCATCAAGCCACTGACTTGTTAGGGCAAATATAAAAATTAGTATAAAGCTATAAGACATAATGAAGATGAGAAAGAGGATATAATGCACAATTAAAATCTTATTGAACAAAGTTATAATATCTTATTTAAAGAAGTTATTGATGAAAAAACTAGGATAAGGATAGAACAAAAGAAAAAGACACAAACTATGATTGTTTCATTTAACTTATATTGCCATAACAAGACCAAAATAGATTCACAGTATCCTACATAGTAAACCCTTGCTTTACTCCACAAATGAGAAAAGACAACTGTTAAAAGAAACATCAATTTAGAATGTATATAGAATTGTAAATGTATATGGAATGTATATAGAATTGTATATAGAATGTAAAATGTATATAGAATGTACATAGAATTGTATATAGAATGTAGAATTGTAAAATCTTATATAGAAGGATGATGGATTATTAATTGTATCATCTCATAAAAGAGACAGAAATAGTAGAGGATAAAACCAGTTTAAATCAAGTTTTGCAGGAGACTCAATCTAGCAAAAGCCTTCTAAGGATATTTATGAATAGAAACAGAAAGCAGATATTTTTATATTTTTTAAACATCACCAAGTTAACCACACAAACTCTACTAACACTATTTTGAATATACTTACAGATGAGATAGCAATAGTACTGAAGAGAACAATGTACATTTATTATATTATAGCTTATGCACTCTGATGTACATTTATTCTAGTATAGCTATATTGTGTGTGTGTGTGTGTGTGTGTGACAGAGAGAGAGACAGAGACAGAGAAACAGAGAGGCAAAGACAGAGAGGCAGACAGACAGACACAGGGACAGAGAAAGAAAGGGAGAGAAACAGAGAGACAGAGAGAGAGAGATAGGGAAACAGAGATGGAGAGACATAGAGAGATATTCTTAATTGAAGTAGGACTCATTTTGCTTCTCTATGAACTGAAATAGTTGATCTAGATGACTTTTAAGTATTTTTTCCTTATTTTTTCATTCTATGATCTCCTTTTCTTAAAAGACAAAAATTTCACACCAATTTGAGGACAGTAGTAACCAAAACTCTCTCTCTCTCTCTCTCTCTCTATCTGTCTCTCCCTTTTTCTCTCTCTGTCTCCATACACATATAACATATTATATAATACTCTCTCTCTCCCTTTTTCTCTCTCTCTGTCTCCATACACATATAATATATTATATAATATATGCATACATGCACATATATGTTTGTATTACTTTATAACTATATTCGTTGTATTTATTCTTACCACTAAAGTCCTATATAGTATTAGAATTAAACTGTTTCACAGAGGTGGCTACATAGCCCATTCTTAAGAATGTGAAACATACTACAAGTCATGATATATATCTGCTTTGGTAATCAATGAAAAAAATGTACATTGAATGGAAATGCTAAAATAACCTCCATAAGTTCATTACATTAGAAACAGCTTAACACAAGATGGAATTTATAATTCTAAACACCCATCAATCCTTGAGCCATATTTAGCATGCATTATAATCACTATATAGTCCTCTGTATATATGTGTGTATATGTACATAAAGATATGAATATACACATTGAAATACATTATATACATATATACATGTGTTTATGCATATATATGTATATAAATATAGATATATATGTATATATATATACACACACACATACAAATGCACATATCTCAATTAAAATATTAAACCAGACTGAAACTTTCAGAATTTCTCAAGTGATTTTTAAGCTCATTGGACAATCATGATAACACCATGAATAATTCTTGCATTAGAATGATATTCAGAGATTGTAGAGTTCAGTTAATTCATGCTTTTCAAAAATAGCTCAAGTAATATCTATAAAAATTAAATAAACTCATAACATGTGGATGCTTGATCATTATGAAAAAAATGACTCATTTATTTGGACATGCCAAATGGCTTTTAAATTTGAAAGCTTCTGTCTTACAGTCAGGAGAAAGAATAGGTGGCATAGAGAAGCATGTGGCAGAAAGAAAACAAAATGTGAAGAAAGACATGCTTAGGTTCCATAAAATGGAGTTGTTCAATATAATCACCCCATATTATCATTATTTACATCTGTTTAATTACCTCATAATCCAAGTCCAGATAATCAAATTCTCCATTCGTCCGAAAATGTTGCAAATGCCTATCCAGAGTCAGGTTGATGTTCCGTCCATGGCGTTCAATGATAACAGAATGCCAGTGGTGATCATCTAGCAAACTTCCTGTCATCACAGATGTATGGCCATATATGGAACCAAATTGGTTGCTCCCTGATTGATGTGAAAAGACCAAGGAAATGAATGAATGGCAAACTCACTGAGGATGAGTTCATTTCACATACAATGTCATCTGTCTCCCAAAGCTGATTCTCAGTGAAGTTAGCATAGAAAATTGTAATGTAACTGTACTTAAAGTTGGTTTTGTTTGAAGTATATTTAAGGTTCTCCACAAAGGAAAGAATCTGGCCCCATTTTTTAAGCCATAAAAAGAAACTAACAAAACGTCAGTAGTATCTGTTAGCAAAAACTTAGTTGTAAAAGTCCCCAAAGTTGAAGAGTTTAATTGATGTAGTAGAAAGAGTATTGATCTTAGAGTAAAGAGATCTGGTTTCAAGTCTAGGTCCTAGTACTAACTAGCTGTATGACTATTGGTAAGCCAGTTAACTTCTTTGAACCTGTTTCCTTACTTGTGAAATGGGGATGTCATATTATCTTAATCAAAGGATTATTGTGAGGAAAGTGCTCTGTAAATGTCAATTGTATATACAGGAAATACTATTAGTTCATGTACAATTTTTAGTTGCCAAAGCAAAATACCACTTAGATTCAAAGGAGAAAGGGAATGAAAAGACCAGGAGTCTCAGAGTCTCCCTTGCTAATTGAAAAGAAGATCATACCATTTACAAAGATTTCGGAATGAACAAATACCAGGAATTTCCTTATATTTTCTTCTCCTGATATAAAAATATAAAGGACAGATAAAGGAAAAAAGAAATAGGGAAAAAAATTTATGAAAAATAATGAATATCAAGGAACACTGAAATGAGGGGAGGCCTTTTCTGAGACCAATTATTTAACAAAAAAAATGAATTATGAAGAAAGAGAAAAAAGTCCACCATCTATGGCTTTTAAGGGGAAAAGAAGTAACTGCTTTTAACATTAGAGCTCCAAGTGATTGCAGGGAAATACATGAAGCCTCCAATGACCAAAAACTTTTAATGTGTGATATAGCATAGTGCAATGGAAAAAGCCCTTGAAAATGAGTCAAGAGATCTGGATTCTAGCTCTGATTCCATGATTCACTATCTATGTGACTTTGGCAAAAATCATCTCACCTCTCTGAAATTGAGACTCCTCTCCTATCATACGAGGAGGTTAGATTAGAGCAGAGGTATCAAACAAGCTACTCATGGCAATGACACTCAGGGTTAAAATGTAATTGGGAAATATGTAATAAATATGTAATAAAATAGAAAAAATACAACAGAAAGGAGGTGTTAATTTGTAGTTTTCTAAGTGAATATGTAGCACGCAGGGATTCTTAGGTACAGTAAATAGTTTTGAGTTTGAGTTTGACACCACTGGACTAAGGGACTTTGAAAATTTCTTGAAACTATAAACCCGTGATCCTATGATCCCAAATAAAAGCACTCTTCTTAAACTGTAACAAAAGTAAATCAGTTATACTATTATTATGCAGAGATTAGTGTCTATTGTCTATCAGAAGGAAGTATTTAAATTATCACATTAAAATCAATGACTGTTGTTTATATGTCTAAATATGAACCCAAATTTGAACTCAACACTAGAATTTCCTTTGTAAAGAATTATTGGAAGGTGTATGAATGTTGATATTGTTGTTTTAAGATATATGTGCTTATCGATAAAATTTTATTTTATGGTATTTTAATGATATATGTATATTCACATACAAAAAATTAATGGGTTCTATGATTCCATGACTGTAAGAGTTCTTTCATGGGTGAACTTATACTCCTAATATAAATTTACCAGGCTTAGTATCTCTTCATCTTGTAATTTGAGATCATTGTCATAGCAATGAGAAGTTAAGTGACTTGATCAGAGTTACTCAGGTAATCTATGTCAAAGGTAAGACTTGAACCCAGGTCATTATTCATAATGTCATATGGCTTCCCCTTATATTTGCATATAGTTGGCAAGTTGGCAAGAGAGAGAGAGAGAGAAAGAGACAGAAAGAGTGAGAGACAGAGAGAGAGGAATAATAATAAGAAGTATATGGTACAGACAAGCATTAGAACTAGACATCAAAAGAAACATGATTGATAAATTTATTTACTAAAAAAAAAAGAAACATGATTGGGAGAGAATAAAATGCTAACCAAACAGAACAATACTGACAATATTTATGAGAAAGGTTGGTGTTCCCTTACATATAAATCAGTACCTTTTCTTTTATTAATAAAGAAACTTTTAAAAGTCTTAATAAAAGTTGTTTTTTTCAATTGATTAATTTACAATCAATATATTAGAGGTAGGGATATAAATACAGAAAATTATAAGAACCATAATTTTTAGGAGTTTGTAACATATTTAAAATAATAATGATATCCACAAATTATAGTTTCTGTGATTTTCTTATCTTTCATCACTTTCACAATTCTTTGTGTCTATAAGATAAATGCAAAGAGCCAAATGTTAGCAGAAGAAAGAAATCAAAACGAGAAGTATGAAAGGAGGGTGAAAATCCCACTATAGCCTCAATACTAACATCTATGAAATATTGTTTTCATAATTTTTTAGGCTAGAAGGCATAGCAGAACCCAGAGAGAAGTGCCTAAAATATAGGCATGAAATTAAAAAGGGCCAGTAGAATGCTGAGCTCCCAGACCTTTTATTAAATGAGTTTCCATTTCTATCCCCAATTCAAGGTGTACCAATTTCCCTCTGGAAAAAGAGTGTTCCCCTAGGAGGAGGGAATGAACTTTGTTTGCAATAACATTTGGTTAGTCTCTTTCCCTCAGTCCACATAATGGACAAGAAACACATGGAAGGGAAATGAGTAATTTTTGGCTTGACCAATTTGAAGAAAACCCTCCCCTTCACATTAACTTTGAACTGGTCTGTTTAGTTACACAAGGAGGTAGTGACAATAAGCTAAGAGGGATCACACAGATTTGCTCAGCTGGAGTGGGCAATGTATTTGCTTTTTCCTTCAGTTTGCTTCCCTATATGCTTTAGAGCCAAGCAGCAATGAAGAAACAATGATCTGTGGATGTATATAAAATACAAGCACAGAATCACAAATGAAAAAAAAACCTTTCTTAATGAAAATGAAAATTGTTATTCTTGTTTTTTAACATAAATTGGGAACATCCTGCATATATAATTTTGCCTGAACAGATATTGAAAATAGCATTTTAATGTTATGGCTAAATACCACTAAAATATTGTAAAATCCTACAGTTACATCATTCAGTCATTAAGGTACTTGTAACACTATTCCTATAGATATGCCCCCCTCCATAAAATTGTTACACCAAATTCAGTGCTTTTCTAAAATAGCATAACAATATATGCTCTGTTGAGCCTGGATTATAGATTCAGTGACTAGAGATAGCCTCATTGACTACCATAATGTAAATCTTCACATTTAAAGGGCAAAGACTATTTTTGTCATTTCTTTTTCAGAATTATGCAATATAATTATGGGAAATTGCCTTTGTGACTATTGTCATATTGGGGAAGGAAAGGAGCAAGGAATAAAATCTATCTAACTGCACAGGAAGATAGAATCAGCATGGTTTTCTGATTTATGTTAAAGTCAACATATATTTTGCAATTCATTTTCAAGTGTGATGGATACACAAAGCTTTTTAAAAAGAGAGAAAATTACTGCTATGCTGTTTGAATTATCTATCATTTGTATACTTGGGTAAAACTGCCTTATTTTCAAGGGTGGAGGTGGATTACCTCTTTTCAGATTAAAAGAACACAAAGAAAAGAAAATATGTACAGTAGGACTTTGTTATGATACAGTTTTTGTTGTTATTTTGCTGTTGTTGTTATGGTTGTGGTTAATGTTTTTGAAGCAAACATCAGATTGAATCCATATAAGGATGTCCTTGGTAAGGAGACTTTCTCTAACAACTTATACCATGAATCAAATCAAACCTTCCACCCTCCTCTTCAAAAATAACACTATACAGGGAAAGTTCAATTTCACAGGACTACTTTAGAACAAAGGTGTGAGTTGCATCAATTGTCTCTGCGTCTTTAAGAAAATTACAGCATAGTCCATAGAACATAAGGCCTAGAGTCAGGAAGACCTGAGTTCAAATCTAGCCTCAGACAGTTACAAATTATGTGACCTAAGGCAAGTCACTTACCCTCTATTTGCCTCAGTTTCTTCATGTGTAAAATGGAGATAATAATAGCACCTACAACCCATGTTTCTTGTAATGATCAAATAAAACAATAATTCTAAAGCACTTAGCATAGTGTCTGGCACACAGTAAATGCTATATAAAAGTTTTTCATTATCATCATCATCATCATCAGAAGTCTTTGTTTTTTCTTATACAAAAATAATGAAAATAATATTTGCATTACAGAGCTGTTGTAAGGAAGGTGCTTTGTAAACTGTATAGTGTTATTTAAATGTAAACCCCTCAAAATGGTGGTGACAATTATCCAAGTAAAGTGTAGGAAAATAAAAGGATTCTGCTGTACAATTGAAATATTCATATTTCAACTTTGATTGTAATACATACTTCCAGGATAAAATATAGATAGATAGAATACACACTTCCAGAACAAAATGTAGATAGATAGATAGATTATATCTTGCTTTGCCTAAATTATAATTTTGAATATCAATGTCTGTTTTGGCCAGGGTTTTCAATTTTATTTTCTACTTATCAGAATGGTTTAAAACACCAATATCACATGAACCATTTCTCACTGTTTAAATAATTTTAACACATCAATTGTTTCCCAATAAATAATAACCCTCTCCAGCTTGCCCCCCTGTCCCCTACCCTGCCAAGTATCTTGAAGGGACAACTTGGTTAAGTAGAGAGAGTGCTGAAGTTGGAGGCAGGAAGACCTGGGTTCAAATTTTGCCTTTGACAACTACCAGTTGAGTTATCATGGGCAAGCCACCCAAATTCTTTTAGCCTTCATGAGTTGTTTCTCTAACTTAACTTTCTGAGCAAAATATAGGGACAAACAAAAGTCAGTGAGTTCACATTATGAATTCAAAACATGAAAAATAAAATTAAATAAAAGGAATGAAGGTGTTGAAGCCTACCCAGGTTTAAGTTGAGAACCAATTTGGCTTTTTTCAGTTCCAAGGTAATATAATCTCCTTGCTGCCCTTCTCCATGGAAGATTACCCCTTCACTCTCAGAGGTTTTAAATTTCAAAGCAATGACATCTTTCAGAGTTTTCATCTTCTTATTCTTGAATCTGTACGGTAATACAACATGGCCATCAAAATTGATAACATCGGCCCCTGAGGGAAGAAGTAAATAACATTGTTGCTGAGTCATTGTATATTGCCATCCAGTGTCCAGCAAACACACTTCCAATGGGTTTTAGCTATACCAGTTCTACATATGTTTCTTCTAAATTTCTGCTATTAAAATCATGGGTAAATTTGTTAATCTGGGTTGCAGTTCTTTTTAAATGTAGACACTGCACAATGTTACCTCAGAGTTTTTATGAATAGTTAATAAAACATGACCACAAAAGCTCTACAAATAAAAAATGCTATATGAATTTTAATATTAATCACATATATCCAATTAATGACACATATTTCAAACATCTTTTTCAGGTTGTAGCTTAATGGAGAAAAAAATAAAATGTCTGACCCCTATGGGGAAATTATTTTTAATGCATTTTTTTTGCCATTGATGAGGATATGTCTTAATCATTTTCATAAGAAATTTGTCTCAACTTTGCCCAATCAAAGGAGGAGTAAGAGGACTTAGTAAATATTATTTAATGATACGGCTATTTTTCCTGATAGGTTTTCTCTTCCATTCATCTTTCAAATACCCTTCTACCAGCATCTGAGTTTAATGACTAATAAAACTTTGGGAACCATCCTAACATTTGCCCCTGGGCATCATATATGTCCCCAAATCATTGTTAGCTCTCTGCATTCTGGATGAGAGGAATCAGACTGCAATCTCTTCTCCTACATTAAACAAAGACATTTTCAATTACCAAATTAAGAAGCATATGTGCATGCATGTATGTGAGGATGACAAATAGCTAACTTTGAGTTTAAATTCTTTGTTATTAAGCTCTACAAGTATTTTGTACTATGTGTCATGTAGATGCACATTATTGTTGTAGTTATTAGAAGATTTGAAAATGAAGATCATTATTTTATAACCTTTTTCTAAAAAAGAGGAAAATTGAAGCAATAGATAATTTCTAAATATTTTGAAAGGATGATGCCAGCTTCACAAATATTGAATTAAAATATTTCATCATAAATTGCTGCTAAATCATATCATGACCATAAAAAACAGGCAAAGTCTTATGATGCTAGTGTTTGTGAGCCTAACCTGGAACACTCTCCTTCCTAATTCCCACCTCTTACAATTCTAAGACTTTCCAGTCTCTCTAAGCCCATTGTATGTACCTTTACCTATAAGGAGATTTTCCTGAAAAATTCCTTCTCTTAGATTTTAGTTTTCACGTCACTATCTACAAATTACTTTGTATGTACTTTTATTAAATTATCTGTGTGCATGTTGTTTCTCAACAGTAGAATTTAAATTGCTTGAGACCAGGAATTGTTTTATTTTCCCCTAATATTATGAGAGTTCTATAAGCATTTGCTGAATTGATTTAAATTGGATTGTTACAGCAAATCAAAGCCAAAAAAATAAAAATAAAAACATAAAGCAAACAAACAAAAACATCCTTGATATTTATTTGGTTGAATCTGGAGTGAGGAGGTATGGATTTGAATCACAGTTCTGAAGGCTTATTATCTGCATGATCTCTGAGACTCAATTTCCTTAAATATAAAATGAAAAAAATAGACAAGATGATATCTGAAATCCCACCCAGATAAATATCTATGATACTATTTAACAATTACTTATGAAATGCCTACTTAGTACAATGCATTGTGCTAGGTCTTGGGTATATAGAGACAAAAACAAAACAAAAAAAAAGTTTTTGCCTTAAAGAAAGCTACATTCTTCTAGAGGAGAATTACTTTAGTCCTATGATCTAGTCATTTACTTACTACTACCTAGATAACATTAATCTATTAAAACATTTAAAGGTCATATTTTCTTTTTATGTAGTATTCTATTTGGCTTTTATTTCAACTTTAAAACCCCAGTAAAATAGACAATTTCTGTCATTTGAGTATCAGTCTATCACATGGCAGCCTTTAAGTTCATCTCTCTGTCTTCAGACATGACTGTATTTATACTAACCCAGGCTTAGTTAGAGAATACTTCATACTACTTTAAAAGTCACCAGGGAAAGATGTTCAAAATTCTCTTTCTAGACCTCTGATTCTAGATCAAATCTGTGAATAGCAAGACATTGAAGTCAGTTTTTTTTTTAGTTATGCGACACAATCATCTCTTTCAGCCCTGTTTGGTGAGTACATCATGAGTAAAGCCCTGCCCTGTGCTTTATGACATAATAACATTTTTGCTTATTACCTAAAAAGATATTGTTGATGAAAGTTTTCACTCTTTCACTACCTTGTCTTATAAATGGCAAAAAAGGAACTCAAATATATCTTTCTCCTCACTTCCCAAAACATTACTTAAGATTAATGTTCCCTCTACTCATTCAGGAAATCCATTGGCCTCAGCATATTTTGTCATTAACACTATTTGAAACATACAAATGTTTTCAGTGTTTGTCTTTTTTCCTTCTTAAATGAGGCTATAGAACAATGCAATATTGCATCAACACAAGTAAATGAGGAAAATAAAATCTAAAACAGCAATGAAAAAACTACTTTAAGCTTTCCATTTCACTTCTGCTTATCATAACTTTATACCTCCCCATAAAGGGGAATCTGAATCCACAGATCTCTAGGAAGGAAATCAGCCACGAAATTTTTCCTTTTGCTAAGACTGCAAAGCCAATCCAGTATGTGGTTTTGTTTAAAATTCTGTCACAGTGAAATTCCAATTGCAAGGTCTTCATCACCTGTGATGAAAAGAAAAAAAAAGGGGAGGGATGGTAGCAGAATATATGAAATTTGATTTCCAGGTATCAAGTGGAGTTTATACTCTAGCAGATGGAAGTGAGTATATGAATTTCACTGAGAGGGAAATGATTTAGAATACAGAGTCAGGTCTGCAATCAGTTCTATACACCTGAAGATTGAATAATGTCATTATATAAAATATTTTTCTTATATATTAATGAGCAAAAGATCACAATGCTTTATCAAAGAGACTATATTCTAAGAAACTTACCAAAGAAGCCCTTCCATATTTCATCCTAAATCCAAATTTGAAATTGGCTGAAGTGAGTGGAATGACGATAATCTAAGTTAGTCCACAAGCCCTGATCCTTCTTTGATCAAACTTAGAGGCAGTGAAAAAAAAATGCACAGTCAATATTTTTGTTTTTTTGCCTGAGACTGGTCTCCCTATTTTGCCTCAGCTGAAAGTGTGGGCGCTCTGACAATGTTCTATTTCTTAACTGGACTAGACTGCAGCACCCAGAGGATCAGCATACTTGTGCCAAATTTAACATAGACACCTTGGTTACTCTAGCCCTACTGTAACCCAGAACTCCTAAATTCAAAAGCAGCTAATCTCAGCCTCCATGGTAGAAGAGATTATAAGATTACACCATTACATCTGATCATAGTCAATGTTTAGAGATTGGAGAAATGCATCCTGGAATGATGGTGGAGTAGATCAGAAAAAATCCAGGCTCTCTAGATTTCCTCCATAAACAGACAGAAAATCGTCATGAAATGAAGGTAGAGCAGCAAAAATAAAGGGGTAAAGCAGTTGTCCTCCTTGAGAAAACCTCAAAGAGTCCAGGGGCTGAGGTTTGGCCTGAGTGAAGTGGAAACACCTTTAGGCCAGTTTCACTGAATCAACCAACAAAAGCCCTGAGAGAAGCAAACTAGGCCTCAAGAAATTTCAGCTCAGGAACTTTTACCTCACAAACTTCCATCTAAAGAACAACAGACTCAGAGTGAGGGAAGATCAAAAGACCCCTGGCTGTTTCTGGAAGTCAGGCCTAGAAGTCCTGATCAGATGGGATCCCCAGCTGTGGCTGTGTTTGAAGAGGAGTGAGCACAAACCCCATAAGCCGTGTACCACGGGGAGCGAAAACATTTTTGGGACAGCGTGACTGGTTCTTAGAGAAGGAAGAGAGGAGTCTCTGAGGTTGAACCACTGGGTAGATTTCAGAAAACAACAGTAAGAAGGACTTGAGGCTAGGGCAATATTATCCACAACTCGAGATTAAAACTTGATAATAATAATATTAAGCTGTTAAAAATAAATAAGAAAAATTAAAAATAAAAATTAGTAAGCAAAGGAAAAAGAACCTAACCATTGAAGGCTACTTTGGTGTAAAAGAAGATCTGGGTTTGTATTCAGAGAAAGATAGTGAGGTAAAAAAAAAAAGTTATTCCTACCCTAAAGAGTAACATCAAATGGTCATAAGCCCAAAAAGAAATCTTGAAAGAACTTAAAAACAAATTCAAAAATCAAATAAGAGAGAATGGGGAAAAATTAGAAAAAAATAAAAACAATTCAAGAAAATTATGAAAAGATAAACAGCTGGAAAAAGAGATACAAAAACTTAAGAAAGAAAAATAACTCCTTGGAAACGAATTGGGCAAGTGGAATTGAATAAAATTATAAGACACTGAGATACGATAAAACTAGAAAAAAATAGAAGTGATTCTGAAATATCTCATTGAATAAAAAATTGATCTGGAGAACAGATCGAGGAGAGATGATATAAGAATTGTTGGAATACCTTAAAATTATGATAAAAAAAAGAATCTGGATATAATATTACACAAAATTTTAAAGGAAAATTGTCCTGAAGTTCTAGAACAAGAAGGTTGAAGTAGAAATAATAATAATAAAAAAAAATCTACCAATAACTACCTGAAAGAGATCCTAGGAAGAAAACTTATAAAACTGATTTGTGGAAAATACCAAATAGTGCTCACAACCTTATGCAAATCAGAAGATTTGAGTAGAAAAATTCTGTGTGGGCCTGGCCTACTTCCACTGAGGGGAAGATGATAATCAGGACTAATCAGTTGATCAAAGCTGTTACAGGTGGGGTAAGCTCGTTTAGGAGTTAGAATGACAGAGACAATGTAGTGAACAATTTGACCAACAGATGAAATTGTGCTTGGGTAAGGGGTAGTCCATTCCCTGATATATATTTCTATGCTTCTGTAACAGTTGGATGGGGATAGGGAAAGTTTACAACTTGACACTGGGAATGGCAGTCTGGGTTCAGATGTAGGAGGTA